AGTTATCTATTCTTATTTTCTTCTGTTATTTCTTTATTTAAATGTTTTGGATAGCACTTTTGGATAATGTTATAAAATTATGTTAAAAAGAATTAAGATATATAAATAGTTATATATATGTATGTAGTTATATTGTATTTTGTTATGTAACATACTCTTAAATTTGCTCAACTTAGATTTAATTATATCAGTATTTTGGCTTTAAGGAAGACTTAAAATTTTTAATTTGCTATACTAAAGCAAAAACGACACCTAAGTAGCTAAAGTTATCTTTGAATTTTATATGTAAAAGCATATTTTTTAGTTCTTTCAACAGCTGTCAAATCGTGCATTTTCTGTCTAAATAAGGCTTCATTTCATGTGCCTTTTACAATTATTTATTGATTATCGGGGAAAGGATAGTAGCTGTCCATTTTCACAAATGTCTTAAAACTATCTCAAATGTTGCTTTAATTAAGTATCTCTTTATTTGCAATTACATGCAATAAATTCCATTATATCATTTCTTACTTATGACATCATAATTCTAATATAGTCATGGCGATTAGTCAGAAGCCTTAAAAGAATTTATGAAAACATTAAGTTTGAAGAAGTTTTTGTTATTTTATACCTTTACGAATGCATCCAATACTATAACTGTTTAATGAGTGCTCATTGGATATTTTATTTCTATTGGAATATTTTATATTTCTCTTATATTTTAGATGTAAAAAATATATATATATATACCAATCGAATGCAAAAGCTCACTTTAAAAGCACTCAGTGAGTGATTGTGCTTTTGAATGTGTCTATTGATCTATATTCTGAATTCTCTTTTATTAATAAAAGTACCTCTAAAAGTGACTTACAGTCAATCAGAAGGCTGATAGCTTATAAGCTATTTTTAAGGGCACTTTTATCAATAAAAGAGAATTCAGAATATGGCCATTATGTTTGAACGTGCAAGTTTCGAAAAATTTGATTTGTCATCTTTAAACACCCTTTATTAAATAATTATTTTATCAATATTTTATGATATTTTGATATTAAAATTTTCACTTTAAAATTATCTTAAGAATTTATCATTAATTGTTTTAATACAAGATCTGAAATATATTCTTGTTTGTTAAAAAAATTAAATAAAATTTTAACACTTGTTATAAAAAAATTTACAGTTTGATATATTTTAATTTTTTAAATATATTTTTACACAGCTTTTTAATTACGTACAAATTTTCTGATACTTAACTGTTATTTTAAATAGGAAGAGACTATGCAGCTAAAGCCGCAGCTGCAACTAAAGCTGGTGTACAAGGAAAAGTAGTTGCTGTCATTGGTGCTGTTGTTGATGTACAATTTGATGATGCTCTTCCACCTATCCTTAATGCCTTGGAGGTACAAAACCGTACACCTAGGCTGGTACTCGAAGTTGCCCAACATCTCGGAGAAAATACAGTGCGCACCATTGCTATGGATGGTAATAATTTACGAATATTATAAAATAAAATATGTAAAATTCGTAAATTTTAATTATAGATTTCTTATTCGAAAAATTCAGTTAAATCTTTATTAAAAGTTTATTTATTTTTACATAAACATAAATAGGTTTTTATAGGGATTCAGTAACATTACTTAGATTATTTTCGTTACAGGTACGGAAGGATTGGTACGTGGTCAAAATGTATTAGATTCTGGATATCCTATTCGTATTCCTGTGGGAGCCGAGACCTTGGGTCGTATCATTAACGTCATTGGTGAACCTATTGACGAGCGTGGACCCATTCCCACAGATAAGTTGGCTCCTATTCACGCGGATGCTCCTGAATTTGTAGACATGTCTGTTGAACAAGAAATTTTAGTCACGGGTATCAAAGTCGTGGACTTACTGGCTCCCTATGCCAAAGGTGGAAAAATTGGTAAGCATTACATATTATAAGATTAGTGCAGAGTTGAGTAAGTCAACATTTTTTAACTAAATTAAGTAAAGTTAATGACATAAAATTTATGTTAAAAATTACATGAACAAAACACTAACTCAATTAAAAATTACATAAAATTAAATTAAATGAATCTTTAATTTAACTTAATTAAATTAAATTAAGTTAAATTAAAAATTTATTATTTTTTATTTTAAAAAGCATTATTTATATTAAATTGGAACGTCATACTTTTTATAAATTATAATCTAACAAAACAATATGAATATATAATATGAATTATTAAATAAATTTAATATTTCACTTGTAAATTAAGTTTGATGTTATGAAATAATATATATTTTTCTTTCTTCTTTTTCTTATACAAATGTGTTTTTTTTTTTACAATTTTTTCTTTTGTAGAAATTTTGAAGGAAAAAAGTTAATAAGTTAAAATTTATATATTTGATAACTAGTTTAATAATTAGTTGAAGTTATAAATTAATTCATTTAAAATTATCTAAGTTAAGTTAAAAATTGTTAACTTTTTAACTTTATGAATTAACTTTTAACTTTTTAATTAGTTACTACTCAATTCTGGTTTAGTGCAATAAAAATACAAAAAATCTAATTTTTTAAAATAAAAAATTGTCTGGATATCCCTATTATTGATATATGTTGTATGTATATTAAATGTATGTATGTATATTAAAAATTAAATAATTATATGCCAGGTCTATTCGGCGGTGCTGGAGTCGGTAAAACTGTACTTATCATGGAACTGATTAACAACGTAGCCAAGGCTCATGGTGGTTATTCGGTATTCGCCGGTGTAGGTGAAAGAACACGCGAAGGTAACGATCTTTATCACGAAATGATCGAATCTGGAGTCATTTCTCTCAAGGACAAGACTTCTAAAGTAGCGCTAGTGTATGGACAGATGAATGAGCCTCCAGGCGCTCGCGCCCGTGTAGCTCTCACTGGACTTACCGTCGCCGAATATTTCCGTGATCAAGAAGGTCAAGATGTACTATTGTTTATTGATAACATCTTCAGGTTTACTCAGGCTGGTTCCGAGGTAAATATAATCTATTACACATTTAAGTAGAAACAGAAAAGAAACATATTTACAAATTTATGTGATCTTAATGCATTTGGAATATATTAATTTAAACAAACTTATTTGCTATTTTGATATAAACTTTATTAATAGAAGAAACTTTAAAAGTTTATAATGGTTATTAAAAAATAAAAAAATACTTTATTAATATAAATCGAAAAATTGAGATAGATCAGAGATAGATTTTTATTAGTTTTAATAATATAGATTTTTTTATGTGTGTGTTATATTTTTCTATTTCTATTCTATTTTTCTATTTTCATTTATTAGTGAATAATAAAATGAAAACAAAAAAATAGACCAATTTTTTAAGATAACATACTTTTATTCCTTTAGAATAAATTTAGATTAAATAGTAGACAAAAATAACATTGTATATATTTGGATATTCTCTATATTGCCAAAATTTCATAAATATTTTAAATTTTCGATTTGAGGATTTTCTCTTGTTAATTTTGTAAACTATTTAGCCTTTAATAATTTGTTTTATATATACACGTAGCATAATGAAAAAAAAGTTTCATACAATAATATAAGCGGGTTACCCGTTTATCAAAATAAAGAGTTATTTCTATCTCTGACAAAATTAAATTTGATCTCGTTGATTAAACATTTTTTAAACTCTTTTTAATAATTACTGATATATCTCTAAAGTCTATTTGAATATTCGATATTTTATATTTATGTATACATATATGTTTATTTCAGGTATCTGCTTTATTGGGTCGTATCCCATCCGCCGTAGGTTATCAACCCACTTTGGCTACTGATATGGGTACTATGCAGGAACGTATCACCACTACGACGAAGGGATCCATTACATCTGTTCAAGCTATCTATGTACCCGCTGATGACTTGACAGATCCCGCTCCTGCTACCACCTTTGCTCACTTGGATGCTACAACTGTATTGTCACGTGCTATTGCTGAATTAGGTACGTATTTCTCTGAAAATTATATCTTTGATATTACATCTATAATTTTTCAAGCATATATTTCAATACAGGTATTTATCCGGCTGTGGATCCTCTCGATTCTACATCTCGTATTATGGATCCCAACATTATCGGCACTGAGCATTATAACATCGCTCGTGGTGTACAGAAGATTCTTCAAGATTATAAATCGCTTCAGGATATTATTGCAATCTTGGGTATGGATGAATTGTCGGAGGAAGACAAGTTAACTGTTGCACGTGCGCGTAAAATCCAGAGGTTCTTGTCCCAACCATTCCAGGTGAGAAAATATAGTACATTATATATGCGAATAGGCACGCGCGTTCACACACAATATTTGCTCTGAAAATTCAATATCAATTCTCTTTCAAAACACATACGTTAATATTATTTATACAATTTTCCTTATTTTTATTTAAATATCTATTTTAAAAAAATATTTATATTTATATAATTATTCTATTACATTAGAAATTATTTTTGGTTTTTATTTTCTGTTACAATAGAATAATACATATTAGTTTACTTTCCTTGAGATGGATTACATACGATTCCATATATTTTTCTATTTTTTTTAATTCTTCAATCAATCTCATATACCGATACATACGATAGAATGAGAGTCAAGACTATGTGTAAAACAGATTTGATTATAAATTGATCTCTTATGGAGTAACGTATTATCCTATACCGTAGACCGATAGTGGATCGATAGTTTTCAACTTAAAATTCTTTGTGTCATATATAGAATAACAAAATCAAAAATCTAAGCCAAATTTTCCATTTGATGAACGATTACTTTAATATTAAATTATCAATATATTATACAATATGTATTATATTAAAAAATCGATTGTATTATCGATTATTTTAGGTCGCCGAGGTGTTCACTGGTCACGCCGGAAAATTAGTACCACTGCAGGAAACCATCAAAGGATTCCAAAAAATTTTGGCCGGAGAATTAGATCATTTACCAGAAGTAGCGTTTTATATGGTTGGCCCGATTGAAGAAGTAGTAGCTAAAGCAGAATCGTTGGCCAAACAATAAATTAACTTACACTCATCGTAAAAACGTTAAAATTGAAAATTTATTCAACTGCCATTTATCCGCGAAAGCAACTTTTCGATGGAACTTGCATTCTCATTATTATTTGTTTTTATCATGTAGTTCCTTGGATGAAATTGAATTCAGCAAATATTAAAAATATTATTAAATAAAAAAGAACAAAAGAATAAAAATGTTGAATTATTTTTCCTGTAACATGAATTACCATTGAAATAAATTAATATCAAACAATTTTGCAAATTCGAAAAATTGCTTTATGCTTTACCTTTTTTCGTTACAAAAGCACTTATTGGAAATTGTAGAAAAGTTCGAAGATATGAATGTTTTCTATTACATTAGCATATGCTTCTGGATTTTTTCTATAGATTTAATCAGTACAAATCATGTTATAACTAATTAACATATACGCAGAATCATGATGTATATGTTAGATATTAATAAAAGTTTTATCAAAAAAACAATACTTGTTACATAACAATCTCTTTTTAATAATTTTTAATAAGTTGTGAAAAATGATTAATACTATATAATCGGAAACTTACGATAGAAAATATAGTAAAATCATATTCTTTTATTTGCAAGAGAGCGTGTTAAATACTAATTATCCTTGATCTTCGTCAAAATCAATCATTGGTTTCGTCAAATTATATGCCTCTTTTAATATCTAAAAAAAAAAGATTTTTATCAATTTTATAATTTTAATTTCAATTTGTTTTATAAATTTTAAATTGATTTGTAAATCAAATTTATTATTTATATATATATTTTTATATTCTAGGACAAATTTAATGAATTGAAATGAATAATATTATAAATAAAAAAATATTTAGTAGATTGTTTCTATATACGTGAAATTAAAAAAAAAAAGATCTTATTCATTGAAACTGAAATGTTTGATTTGTTTCGAAATTCGAACGTTAAGGCTCTATTGAGAAATTAACTTATTAAGTTACTCAATCAATCAAGAAATCAATTACTTACTGTCCATTGTTTCATGTTTAATGATATAACATTTTGAATGCCTACTTTTTTGCCAGATTGTTTTTCTTGTAAACTGAGATCCTTGCGATATGGTTCTACAACAAGACTTCCATGATCTAAAATAAAAATGATCGATCAATATTCTAATAATGAATAGAAAGAAACTGATAAGAAAAGATAAGTAGTTACCTTTTTTTAACTGTATTACTCCATCTTTTATAAGATGTGATATGTATAACATGTTTCTAATAGTCTTTCCAAAATCATAAGGATGTAGAATCAATTGAAAAAAATTAAGTGGTTTTCCTGTTTCTTTACAATAACATGTGATTAACTTTTTAATTTTTCTCACAGTACGTTCCACACTGTCTTCATCTTTTATATTTTGTGCACACGGCACTAATTTATCAGGCACTATTACTTTAGCTTGCGATGCTACTCTCTGTTCAGGTTTCTTTCTGATTACAGTCTTTTTTTCTAAAGGATCTAATGTTCCTGAAACAAAAATTATAAAAAATTTAATTAGACTTTTGTCCAAATTTTGGATAAGTGGATGCGTACACTCTGACACAAATTCTGACACAAAATATTTACAATAAAGTCATATTTTTATTTTTAATTTCAATAATTATAAACAAACCTAACAGCGTGCTAGTATTAGCAATCCTTTTGAATGCTTTTGTTACTTGTCTTTCTAAAATTGACCAATTCAGAGATTCTTCTGTTTCTTGCAAATGTTTTATCTAAATAAAAATATAGATATTGCAATAATGAGTGCATCACATACAATAAATTAAAATAATATAAAAATAATAAATAAAAGTTGTATATTAATAATAATACACAAAATAATAGTATATCTTGTGAGTTACTTTAATGTAACTATAATATAGATAACTATGCATAGATACATAATCATTACTTCTATACTTTAGTACTTTTATTGTGCAGATTTACCAGCTTTTGTGCAAAATCCATGTAATCATAATCACGCATTCTCTTTGTTAATGAATTAGTACAGATTTTCAGAACTTTGGAAGAAGACGTCATCATTTGTGAATCAATAAGCACTTCCTGCTGATTAGAAACTAAAAATAACAAATAAAATAAAATATGATTAATATTATTAAATAAATTAAATAATTATATATACTCATATACTCATATCTTTTAGATATGAAATATATTTCATTACACATATATATATATATATATATATATATATATATATATATATGTATGCATATATATGTGCTTCTATGCAACTTGCAATACATACAATACATACATGATCAAATGATTCCTTAGATATAAAAATTTATATTTCATTACTTTCAATATTTTTTTTTTCAAAATAAATATTTCACTATTTAATCATGTATTTTGTTTTACATTTTCTCTTTTATCTTGTGATATACATAAAAACTAACATTAGTTAAGATCAATATATATTGATAAAAATATCATGCAAAAAATATTAATGTTTTATAATTTTAAATTTGTATATGTCAGTGATTAAGACAGCAAATGATTACTCTCATATGAATATATCAAATCAAATGTATATTTTATGTAAGTTACTATGTAAATAGAAATATACTTAATAGCTCTCTACCTTTTTCTTGTATACTTGTTTCATAAGTAACATGATCAACTTCATTTATGGCTTCATCAAGCTTATTTATTGTAGAATCATTAATCATATCCTCTGCAAATTACTTATTAATTAATTATATATCAAATACAAAATAAAAAGAGGAAATTAAAAAATCTTTTTACGTAAAACCAATGTTTTCTGCAAGGCATGCTTCAGACAACTTTTACGTTCTCTGGAAGATCTTGTGTTAGAAGAATTCATAGATTCTACTAAATTATTTCTCTTATTAAACATTTTGAAAAAACACTTAGCCTCTGTATTTTCTCAACCTCTTCAAACCAGTGAGCAGTGAATACATTTTTACAGGATCTTCTATACGCATGCGTGAATTACATCAGTATTATTGGCTGCGTTCAGCAGAGAAAGCAGATCAGTGAGCGCTCAATGATTTTTCAACATGATCTAAGTATAGAAATCAATCATAATAAAGAATCACTGAACGCTCACTGATCTGCTTTCTCTGCTGAAAACAGCTATTGTTTGTATTGTCTGTTTCTCAGCTGCTGAGTCGTTCCAAACGAGCCCAACGTATTTAGATCTATTCTACAATGTGTATTGGTGTCGTGGTCATAGACCGTAAGAATGGGCCAATCACAATGAAGTATTCTTTTTACATTCGATTTGGCCATACTGTGATTGATCAATTCTTGTGGCTTGCGACTTGCGACATAACACACAACGCATTGTAGAACAGACTTAAGCTGCGTTCCGATATTCACTAGGGGCAGAAATATACTGAAATATATAGTTCACGTATATTATAGACTTCTACGTATATTATAGATTTTTTCGTATATTTTAGATCAGGGGTCGATTATATAACTTTTCCTCTAGGGCGGAAACATGAAAAATGAAAAGTTTCATGTGAACTTACTTACGATTATGTACGATTTTGCGGGATCATGTAACTTTCTCAAACGTGAAAATGTGAAATTTTTCGTCATGTACCTTAGTGGCGGAAAGGCAGAAATTTAGGGAATTAATAAATATGCTTCGGAATTAAAGAAGATTAGGGCTACGTTAGGATTAAGTGTACGTAGTACATATACAATTGTTATTAATAAGATAAAGATGTATATAATACTGTACCAATAAAATAATTTTCATTAGCTATAAAATCTATGAAACTATGTTTCATGATTTCACTTTCCAAGCATCCAAGCTACATACATAATCGCTGTACGTGAAAAGTTTCACGTGAAATGTCAAGGTGTGAAAAAATGAAAAGTAAAAAAGTGAAAAATGAAAAGTGAAAAATTTCACGTAAAATGATTGACTCCTAGTACTGGCAGTGAATATCGGAACACAGCCCTAGAATAGACAAATAAACAATGCTATCATTGATTATTATGGATGCAATTCACTCGTGCTATAAATGCCTCAAAATATTTTTTAATTAATGAATTAATAAAATTCTCTATTATTATACTAATACTATTTGTTACATATTAGAAAACAAGACAGTGATTGGCTACCATACCGCGTTGCCACTTTGCCGAGGTGAGGTTTCGTTTGACCATTTTTGCAATTGACCGGCCACTCATAGCGTTTGAACAGAGGAAAACCTCTAGGCATCTGTGAGTCAATCGCAACTGGTCAAACGGGACGCTTTCCTTTGTTACCCGCGTCCTGTGTGCAACCGGCCTTTTCCGAGAAAAACTGCACGCTCATTGGATATCGCGTATCACGTCTCGCGCGGGTGACGCCCGATTGCCCACGTTGCCGATTGGTTAATTTAAAATAAAATTATTTGATTGGTTGACCCAGTAGAAAATCTCCAGGCAATGGTCACTGTAAGTGGCTGTGTCTAATTGCAACGTGGTCAAACGGGACGCTCCCTCATCACGCTGGACTGAATTCAGCATTATACGGACTCTAGCTCAGTGACTCTGGTGCACTCTGGTGAGAGATACTTATGATAATTTATGGTGGTTTACGGTGTTGTCACGTTATTCGATCATATTGCTGCGATTTGAGCTACAATTTTAACCTATTTACGATGCCGCGAGGTCAGTTTATTCTTTTGTAAATAATCGTATCCATTTTTTCTCCTTTTTCTTAGATAAACAATTTATTCTGTTACTCGATTTTCTAAGAAGATGATTTCTGTTTGTACAATCGACAACTAATCACCTCGTTTGTCATATAGGAAAATTTGTAAATCACAAAGGCAGAAATCGATTTTTTACAAATCCGGAAGAGTTGGAAAAGCAGCGGCGTTTGGAGGAAAAGAAACGACAGTGGAGAGTCAGTATCTTTAAATAATAAGAATCAGAAATAATAGGCTTACTTAATTTAGGTTAAGTTATCATCACTGATTAAAGCTCTAAAAGTTTGGGATTTGGGCTAATAACACATAAAAAACGTGTCTAGAATGCATTAACTAAATTAGAGATTTAAAAAGTTATATTTTTTGTTATTGTTATGTCTTTTGTCTTCGATGATACAATTTAATATATTTTTTTACAGAAAAATAAAGGACAGGAAAGTTCTAGTGAAGATGAAGATGATGATGAACCCAAAGCAAGTGGAGTTAACAAGGCGAAAAATAGTGCAACAGAAAGCGATAGTGAATCTGAATCAGAATCGGAACCAGAGGTACATATATATATAAATAATGTATATGTGTGTGTGTGTGTGTGTGTGTGTGTGTGTGTGTGTGTGTGTGTGTGTGTGTGTGTGTATGTGCATGGGCATAGCACGTGTATCGTTTGTTTCAATTATTTATATTTTTGTCTGTTTTTACAGGGAGGAAAAGCAAAGGGTGTAGAGAATTTAATTGAAGTAGAAAATCCAAACAGGATACAAAAGAAATCTAAAAAATTGTCCCAGTTAAATCAGTCATTAGATACTGAAAAACCAGAATTGTCTCGAAGAGAACGGTACATGTAAAACTACTATTGTAATTGTAATTATAATTTGTCTTGTCATCATTTATATAAAATTTGTATAATTTAATTTTTCAGGGAACAACTGGAAAAACAAAGAGCCTATATGAGTTATCAAAAGTTGCATGCAGCCGGGAAAACAGATGAGGCTCGAGCAGATTTAGCACGATTAGCTATAATTAAGCAACAACGAGAGGAGGCGGCAAAACGACGAGAAGAAGAGAAAAAACAAAAAGAAATGGCGCAACAAAAAAAAACCGAGCTAACACAAAAAGCGCTCGGCAAAAAATCTTAGAAGTTCCAAGAATTAAATATGTCTAACCGCAATATTAATATATTTGGAAATTTGACTCGATTTTCTAATCTCAATGAAATTTGGTAAACCGGTTCGTATATGTGTTTTATGATATGTTAACATCATTGTTTATATAAATACATTGTGAATTAAATGCAATCTTTATAAATATCTCATTTTTTTAAATTAATCTGCTCAAATCTAAACAAATCATTTTATTGATAAAATCCATTTTATCACAGTTGTTTCCAAACCTATTCCTTTTTATTTATGAATTATATATAAAATTTATTAAATTATAAAGATGATGCGAATATGCACTTATATGCCATAAGTGATTTTATTGTTAATAACAAAAAGTGGCTATGTATTTTATATGAATGTGGATTCAATTCAAACGAATAAATAATTGCAAACTAATATACTTTTAAAGTCATCTTGTTTGCTTTGATAAAAATGCTCATGAACATTGGTATTATAAATCTTATTTCTATCAAAGTTTTAATTTGTTTCTAATATGATATAACAATATTATATATTATGTATTTAGACTAATGCTCATAGCACGATGTCAATTAGATTCATCATTAAAATGCACAGTTTGAGTCAATTTTTTAAATAATACTTAACCCTTAGAATTCATAAAAAATAAATTTTTAAATTGTATCATATATGTATTTATGTATTAATTATTAAATTAATTTTTTTTTATTAACAGACTGCGTAACTTTTTAATAAATTTAATTAAATTGGAAAATGTTCTTGAAAATTATGAATGCTGTCCAAATACCCTTATCTATACTTAGATGTAATGGATATTTTGTTTTTTTTACTATCGTTGCTTCCAAGATGATATGTATAATTGATATATACTGTCGTAACTATTTTGAAATTCCTTCTCTGCTACAAATATAAGAGTGTAAAAAGAAATTTATTTATAGCTGTTTCAGTTCCTGTAATACAATGTAATAAATAATATAAAAAATATAATTGATAAAAAAAATTACAATATCAAACATAAAGGATGGTATTGAAGTAGATACTTTAACTTTGATAGCGTATTCTATTTTTCCTAAAGATGAAAAAGGATCATCTAAGCATAAGTCCGGAAACTTTTTGAGATATAAACATTGTCTTTACAAACATCATCGAAATTTTTCATGAATAGCTTCAAACATTTCAACCACTTTCAATATTGTTTTTTGTTAGAAATAATGTAATAAAGTGTCCTAATATTAAAAACAATATATTGTAATAAATCAGTGTGTCTAAACGTTTAAACATAGTTAAAACACTATTATCGGAATTGTTTATTTTAATAAATTGATTGGGTAGATTATTTCATGTATGGCAAGCAAATGGGAACACTGTAGAAGCATGATGTTTTGATCACGAAATCTCTCTTCGCAAACCATGCCCTACTCATGGTATGAGGAGACAAGATGTGCTTATTAGATAGATCTAATTTGGATCCATCCTACGCAAATATGGCATTGGAACAAGTCACCTTCCATATTGGAAAATAATAGTAAAATAAACAAATATGTGACTACGTGACATGTGATTTGATAATAGAGAATTTAATAATTATTAATAATAAAAGTCACAATAGTAGTTCTCAATTAAATAAATTCATTAATTGTCCTTCCCTTATTTATTCTATATTTTGAATATTGCGAGAAAAACACTGATTGGCTGATATATTAATATGACGGGAGCGTCCCAGATGCGCACATTTTCAATCGAACACACCACTCACATCAGCCGATGTCTAGGAATTTTCTAATGAGCCACCTATCAAAAATTTTTTTATTTAATCGATCAATCGGCAATGTGTCCGATTGAACCTCACCTAACATAACCGGCTACTCGTTCCATCATTCTCATTGGTCCATCCTCATTTTCATGCGCAAGAGGTTAACCTTAAGTTTGTTCCTTTCAGCCGAATTAGTAATTTACATTATAAATACAAGTAATTTTCAGATATAACTATATGTTATACTTATTTATATTTATTGTGCGTTGTATTTAATTTTTATTTCGAATTTTCATTTCCAAAATTTAATATTTATTTCTGTCTCTAATATTTGCCTCATTGTGCGCAGGCCCTAAGAAACGGAAAAATGCACTAATGTTATGCAATCATGTTATGCCAAGCTGCGAGTATTCAGTGGGCGTGCAAAAAACTTGCACCAGCGGTGTAGCTCGAGCAGTACCGTTCTGCACCGTCCGGGTTCTTGGTGCGCACTCGATTCTGCCCAATGAGAAGCGCTATTATCCTACATTTGTCAGTACGGTCGGATGGTGTCTGTCGATGTCAATAGGCTCGGCGAGTTCGCGCAAGTCGCGATATGGAATGGCGCGACGTGAAACGGTGATCGCTAGGACATCGCGGATTCCTATCGGCATTACGTCGCCAGCTCGTCGCTGTGGTTATGGTGAAGGTAGCTGCACGTTAACAACACGCAAATATTTCATTGCAAGCTAGTTTTACTCTTTCGGTCGTAGTCCCTTCGGTCGTATACATCGTGAGAATACGACGCGACCATAAACTGTCGAAGGCGCCGCAGAGCTACTTTTATGCCAAAGTCGAGCGGCCCATCCGTCACAGAGATGCGTGCGCGCACATGGTGACTTGACATCGTCTTTCGGGGTCAATTCGAAGATAACTTCGCGTTATAGACACAACGCTGCGACGAGGCTTGGCCGCTTCCCGGCCGCCGCCGTCGCCATCGCCGCCGCTCGCGACATCCTCATGGAACATTGATAAACTCGGCGAGACGGTGCTTTCATAGGAAACTTATAGGGCTGTAATGGCGCACGGGAGGATGTTTAGTTTTGTGAATTTGTAAGGAATAGGCAAGTCCGAAGAGTCACATCTAATTAATTTGCCAAGTTCTGCCAATTAGCGTTTTGTTGTATTAATATTGACATTTTTGAATCTACGAGATTACATTGAATGATTCGCGAGTAGTCCTTTGATGATTAGAAATCTATTCTGGTTAATTAATAGAATTAAACTTTAAAATTATTAATTTTGTAAATTAAAGGTAATTAACATATATTTTAAAGATTAATATTTTACTAATATATTTTAAAGAGCAATGTAGGATTATTTTATTCTTGGTGACATTAATAATGATACAATATTACTTTTTGTAGTATACAATAAAAGTATTATGTTTGTTATTTTGTAATAGAATATCTAGAATAAAATTACATAGAATTCTTGATTATATTTAATGAATTTTATGAATTTATAATTCTATTATGTTTTTATGAAAATATTAATTAAATAGAATATATAAAAACAATTTATGAATATTGAATTTTACATACACACATATACATATAATATTCTGTGGTTAAATCAAATTTGTAAGTAAATTATATAGTAATTGAATCCAATTGTGTTATTTTATAAAATTATTAGACTGATTTAGTACTAAACATTGAATACTAAATATTGAAAATGTTGATGAATATCTACTATTTATAAATTTATTATGTAACATGCTTCCTTTTATTGTCATTTAATATGTTATTTAATATGAAGAATGAACACAAGGAAAAATAAAATGTTTTAAGTTAAAAATTGATAAATATATAGAGGAAGCTTTATATCTAAATATAGTTATATTTCTAGTAAAATTTAAATATCTAGGTGCATTTATAAAAATTTAGAATACATCTATGTAAATAGCAATATTGTAAGTGAATATATAACACAAACACCACTTAACAAAATACAACTATAACATATAATACTATATGATTTAATGTTTATATAAATAATGATGACATGATTATACAAATGATACAAAATTGCAAATTTTTTTTACATTTATCTACTATAGAGACAGCATTCAAGTATTGATTGCTACAACATGGTGTGCTATGGGAGGAGGGTTGAAACCAGGCATGGCAGACACCCACCTATTATATCTTACACCTGCCATTGAGCTTTTGTTTCTATTAACATTTTTAGTGATATAAGTAACAATTATGCATAGCAATATTTTTAACAAGACATAAATATAAAACAAAAATATAATTTATATGATTTATTATTAAAAATATAAATATTTTAGAAGATATTCATTAATTACATTTGCATAATTTTTATTTATTTTAAATAATTTATATGGAATGGATAAGTGATGCAATAGGACAAAAGTTTATTCAATATACAAAAACAAATTGAGATTTAGAATAAAATTTCTTCCTAAGATATTTTGTTTTCGAGATAATTGAATTTGAAAATTTGTCTATCGAATTCTTGATTTGAACTGTTTTTGCTATACATGATTAATCATAATGGTTCTCTTGTGTTTATGAATTGGTACATATACTTATAAGTGTATAATAAAATCCATTAAAGTAGAAGTTAAACAAATATGTACACATATTCAACAAATTTGATTATATTGGAAATTAAGTATCACATGAAAATATTTTATATTTCCAATTTATTTTTATGTTGAATAATCTCTTGTCTGGTTGTATTATCCATCCTGTGCTTGTAATAGTTGCAGAATAATTTTTCATTTACTAATTATATATATATATATATATATATTATA